CATTTGTAGTCTCTGCCCACATTAGTAATGTTACTAGGCTACATGCTCAAACTGCGCCACGACTCACCGTAATTCTGTATCACCTGTTATACTACATACCAGTTAGCAGCATAATAGGCCTAACCTGTCCTTTCTGTCCACTGCTAAGATAACGCAAAAGGAACTAAACTATCCGTTCAAATTGATGGAGGTTACAGCTGGCTGATCGTCACCGCTGTAGACGGTAAATCTGTCCTCCGGTCAAACTGTCCGGAGGAACAGAATTACCTAGGTCAAAGTGTCCCTCCCCCTTGCCCGTTATGTCCCCCTCCTGGTTATTCGTTCCCCTCTATTTGTCTCCTTTCTAAGAACCATTCAGCAACTAATATAAAAAATAATAACTGTTAGACTTGCAAAATTAGTCAAATATATGTTCCTGCAAGAAATCAGAAAAGGCAGCAATCTATATTCTCATGTTTTGAGATCAGCTGCTTTGAGAAAAATCAAGAAAACGCTGTAACCCTCGAAGCGCTGTTTGTGAAGTTTGTCTCGCAAAAATCCATGGGCCACAGAGTGTTCCTGAGCGCCTGTACAATGCCCGGGCGAGGTCGATCTGCAGAGGACTGATTGTGACCCTCAAAAATGCTTTTTTCCCCCCATGGTTTCGTGTAGTACTAGTGGTTGGGAAATTATCTTCACGTTTGTGTTTCCTCTTCAACAATGCAACGCAGAGAATCTGTCGAATAAATAACACTTCATCGTGCAGTGAATTTTGAAGTAACTGCATTCACCACCACAGTCACTGCGCGACCATGTACATGTAGATATACATGTACATGTACATGATTTGTGCAAGTACTGGGAATAATCGACCACACAGTCAGTGTTCACTCCCCACACGCACGTACGACGGTCAAAAAAAGTCGGTCTAAAAAGGCTATACGCCGTCAGTGCCCATCGGGAACACTTTATAAATAAACAAATATGGTAACTATCCTTGTATATTGGGCATGACAGTAACTGTTATTGGAAAAACAGAATGCTAAATGTCTCGACATTGGAGATTTGTTCGAGAAACACCTTTAGGATTCTGTACGGATCTCCAAAGAAACGGCCATTGGACCATTCCATTATCTAAAGGGATGACACCGAGATGATATATTCACGTGAGGTAAACTTCCAAAGTTCCCTAAAGAAACTTTAATTTTAAACCAGTCTAAATTCTCTTTAGACTGTTGTTACGGTTAAGTACCTATTTCATTAGTTATAATCATGAGTTTAGGTTAACCGAAGGCATTTTTTAATAGATCTTATAAATCCTATAGACTGCCTTTATATAGTTTATGACTGAACATGTTGGAGGTCACAAGGGAAGCCTTGTCTGGGTTGGAAGCTAATTTATTTAAAACTCAGATCCAAAACTTCCAGTGAGTGGGAAAAGGCTGTTGGAATCAACCCAACAGACTAGAATCTGCTGAATTTATGAACCTAAGTGTCTAGGCCCCTATAGATCGTTCTTTTTTTCGAAGAGTGTGATATAGCACAGGAATTGTGAGTTCCTGGATCTGGAAGTTAAGTAGTTTTGGTACTTGAAGACCAGCAGTGGTGGTATCTAAGCAGTCATGGTATAGGGCCATTTGTATTGAAAAGCAAGATCATATACGCTTTCTACATCAGCATGGCTTCTTTTTGTTCCATATTTATATTAGCCACTAGGGAATCGGGGCGTGCGGTCTGTAGACCAGGCTCAAAGTGAATCAAGCGATAAAATCCCATATTTTTGTTCAAATTGTTCCCAATGACATCAAACCTCTTGGTCGGACATAAGTCTGCACTGGGCTCTATAATGTACTCAGAAGGCTTACGTCTGACACGCAAAGATAGGATCGACTCTCCCTACCCCATGTTTAAAGCCGCCTTCAATTTTGGCTGTAAGACATCTGATATCGAGGGGCTGATTTGGAAAAATAACACAATCTATCCTGAAAAACGAAGCAAAACTCAAGCACTTTCTTATTGAGAATTTTGAACAGTTGCAAACAATTCTTGCATCGGTCCAGTGATTGGGAAATCTGTCGAATCCACCCTCTGTAATCATTACGGAGAGAAGTAAACACATCAATTAACAGAGTGTAGTACTGTCGTGCATTGAGCCTATTATGATTTTACCAAGGCAAATAACCGAATTACTATACTATTGTGATACGAAAGCTTAAAAACCTTGGTGTCAGAAGTTTGGTTGTTCCCACATAGTCCCACATAGTTAAACGTATAGCTTAATCAACATACCTCTCGACAACCCAGTGTGAGGCCCTGTAGGTAACAAAGTAGACCGATTACGCCCGCTATGTCACGTGACCTTTAGTGAGTATTAAATACCGACAAACACGGCGTCCACCAATAGCAAAGTGTTTCATAAGTATCATTTCCCAAAAATAAAGCTGACGGTAGGTACCATACTCAGACTACTAATGAGGTGGATACTATACCGAAGCTTGGCTGTATTATTTATAAACAACACTCAAAACATAGGTTATTATGGGCTTGATACCCACCATAGCTATATGTCACGTGATTTAGCGGTCTATTCGGTCCGATTCTTTTTCTTGTGCTTGTCAACGATGTGTCTGAGAGCTCTTGCACACGGAAATATGTGGATATTCTGACTTTTGATGAAGTAAGTTATTAAATATGACGAAGAGCCCAAATTTGATAATCTCTCTGTTTGGTGCAATGACAATGATGTTTTGCCCAAGCCCTCTAAACAGCAGTCTATGACAGTTTTTTTTAACAGGAAATACCAAGAGAAGACTTGTCAATTAACTTGATCAATTTGAATGATGTGTCACATTTGAAATTATTAGGTGTTGTCATTCAAAAGGATCTGAAGTGGAATTTACACATTTCTGACACTGTCTCCAGAACTTCTCGAAGACTACATTTGTGTATACTAAAGAGAGTTAATGTTCCTGGAGATGATATGCTCAAAGTCTTTCTTTGCTACATCAGACCGATTCTTGTGTTTGCCTGCCAAGTCTGGCACACATCAATAAATACTGAGCAAAGTAATTCTATTTAACGTGTTCAACGGCGTGCCTACCGTATCATCTTGGGTAATTAAATAAATAAAAAATGAATAAATAAACAAAGCCAGACCTATCATAGATTTTTTTATTTTGAAAACAGCAGGATTCATGAGGTCATACCAATTGTTGGGGGGGTACAAATAAACTCCTGAAGAGGGGATTGACTGAGGCGATACACACCGAAGCGCGTGTTTTTTTTTCTGTTTTTTTTGTGCAGTTCTGTTCTCTTTTAGCTCAAAATCTTCCCTTGCCTCGAAAGCCGACCTTTTAGTCGCATGGGGGGGGCGGACGCACATTCTGCGACTCCCACCGCCCGCCAGTATGGGCTAGGTATACCAACTTTAGATTCCAGAAGATCTGGTTTATTACTCAATTACGGAAGCAAACTTTTGCACTCAACCAGATTTGGACATGCCCCCATAAGAAAATAACGGAAAGCAAAACTCTGGTCCACTTCTGCGCCTAGTCGTGTCATACCCAGATGTATAGGCCTATTTCACTTTTAACATTTTTACATTAGAGTCTATTTTATTGTTTATTTTGCGAGCATAGCTAGTATTTTTTAGATTAAGATTATAATTTGAATGTGTAAATTGCATGTTTAATATTTTGGAACCTTGTTGTAAATTTGAACGTTTTCAGGCTTTAGGCTGTTTTAATTCAAATGAAATAAACCTCAATAAAATAAGTGAAGGTTAGTAGTGTCAATCCATGATAATGCCCTTAGTTGTTGATGGTCTGACTCCAACACTACAGTTTTCCATTTCTCATTCACAGTTTTCGGCGGAGTCCAATGGGGCGAATCTGTAGTTCTGTATCCAGGGGCACTCGATTCAGATGACCTCGTGGCGTCACATTTTAAACCCTGCTTATTCCGTTGGTTAGGACAGCGGGCCCTCTGCACTCAACGGATCACTTACTTCATTAAGACAGTATTACGAGTCTCGACTATTTACAATGACAAATATGTTGTTTTTCATCTTGAGTTTCAATTTTCTGGAAGGGGCACCTTAAGACATTTATTTCTTGGCAATCACAGTCGCAAACGGCTATATTTTACATGGAACCTGGAAAAAAATGTTGGGCAATATGCTGTCTGTGCTCATATATTTATATCCCAACTCAAGAAATTTTGTTTTGATCAAACCACTGCGGGCTATTTCATTTATATAACCACAAATAAATTCATTCACGACAAATGAGAAGTACCTTCGACACAGTTAGCGCACCAATCACCTGTTTTCGTTGGCTAGAAGTGCCAACCTGTATATCCTTTAAATTCCTATTCCACAATTTTAGATGAACCCAGTATTTCTTTCAGTTCTGTCTATTTCAGCCTATTACCATGCCCTCCTTTGACTCGTTGGACTCCAAGCTATGCATGAGGCGAATATCAAAATAACTTGCAGGTGTTAACAAAAATAATCGATGGATTTCTTCTCTGATGAATAAAGGCTTTTTGGACAACACAAGATTCACGCTCACTTCACCAAAAAAGAGGATTACGTTGTGATCTCATAGGCAGCAACGGTTGGTTTGCGCTTACCAACGTGATTTTGTATATTTAAACTTCAGATATGCATCTATATGTCCGATGTAGAAAATTCCATCTAGGGCCTACTATCTTTTATTCAAAAGAAGATGAGCGCAATTACTTCCTGATAAAGAATGGCAGCAATATGAATGGTAGCAAGATCACTTTATGTCAATGACCTATGGTATATTGGGATGACTTTATCAACAAAAAACTGTAGTCAGGGGAAATCAATTTATACATGTAAATAAAACTTTCCTGTCAGCGCCCGCAAGAGGGCGCTGTCATTACAGTTGTCTTGTTTGGTGCGTGCGTTACAAAAAAACATTCTAAATGTGCTCCTATGACTGTACTCTTGAATGGATATGGTGGACGACGTGTAGATACAAGTAAAGACAATGTTAAATCAATTTTCGTGTTATTTTATTGATTTCTCAGTTGTTCACAAAACACTGGGTTATCTGGGCCTCGTAGATTTTTTCGAAGCGGATATCGATATGAGTAACTCTATAGGTCTATACATTCTCCTTTCTGTGGCCCAACAGTTATAGATACTGAGTTTCACAAATGGTTACATAACTTGCAATGCAGAGATCATAACTGAAAGATTGTATTACATGGTCAGGTTTTTGACTAGGATGTGTACAGAATTTCATGACACTGAAATAACATTAACCTCTTAGATAAATAAATTACATTTGGTGTTGCCTTTCATCAGACATAAAAGCATTAACTTACGAAAAAATGTCAATGTCAATTAAAATCAAGATATTAGATGAATATTTCTACAGTTTTGAACCATTCAACAAAGTATAAACAAACGATCAAAACCAAAATTTCTTCAAAAGTAATTAGTTAAGGTACACCAAACTCTCTACAAGAGTGACTGGTTCGGGTGTAAAGATACCACCGTTAGAATAATTATTACATGTATTTTAAAAAGCATAAGCCCATGCTATCTATGTTATTCTTTGGAGAAGTTAAGAAACTCATTATAAGATCTTAAAATAAATGGGATGCTTAATTTTCTGCATCCTACAGTCCAATCAGTAAGTATTGAAATTATTTTGAAAATAGCCGACCACCATCGTGAATTTTTGTTGGCGAAGAGGCTCTCGTGTTGAGTTTGCTGCTTAAAACATAATTTTCCTACTGTGCGAAACACAAATTGAAAGGCCCTGGAGTATTCAGAACAATTACACGCATGCAAAAATGTACTACATTGCCAGCAAAACGTCATAACTTACAACAAACGGCGCATTGAAACTCATTGTGTCGTTTCTTCTCCATATCTTATTTTTGTTTCTGTTTCTCCAACCCCTCCCCCCTCAAAAAAATATGGCCATCATGCCGGTTATACATCCGGGTGGGGGTATTTTGTCCCAAGCAGACAATTTTTCACTACATCATTTTATACTGATTTTTACTGAGAGCGGTCGGATAACTGTCTAGGAGCAAGACTAAATCCAGGGAGTGGCGTCAGATGACCTTGCTACATTACAACATGCCAGCTTTGGACTTTCCTCCCTTTCACCAGAGTCATGAGGCACAGCATGGACCTACAAAGTGGAAGAAAATACTTCTTGATACCAAAGTCAAGTACTTGTGAAGTGTGTGAAGTACATTACCTGTTGAAACGCATTACCTTTATGTTAATAATAATTATCTAAATCGGGATAACGGGTGTCTAATTCAGTATTGAAAGGTAATCCGTTTTCTCAGGTTGATTCCAGTACCAAATATGCTGACTGTTCCACCAACCCCCCCCCCCCCGCATGGCGTATCCAGTTTTTGGTGTGGGGGGCGAAGGAAATAAAAAGCGAATGCAGCTTCGGGCTTATTCAACGTGATGTTGGGGGAGAGAAAAATCAAAAGCCTTATACTCGCCGTTCTGATATCCTGCTTTTATTTTCTAGTGCTGTTTTCTTAGGTTTTGGTTGATATACTTGATAAATAAATATACCGATTACTTTCTTTCCTACTCATCTATGAAGCATTCTTTGTAAAAAAAAAAAAAAAGAAGAATCCATCAGGGGGGCAAGTTGCCCCATCCCCCTAAACAAAAACTATAGGTCAATTAGCTGCCACTCTCATGTGACCGATCTGGGGAGATTTCTGTATGGTTACGAAATGGCCAAAATGTCCAAGCTCATTTTTGTTTGGTTTTTAAATGTAGGTATTGGTGGATGTCACGCGATTATAAATTGCTTGTCTTTTCTGATTTTCACACAAACACCCGCACACCTACCTTACATACCTAGTGTGGACATTCCGTTCTTTTCGTGCAGTTTAGAAAACTTAGTGAAAATACTCGTTTTCTTGAACTGGGAACACGATTTTCAGCTGGCTTTTTTTTTACAAGGTTTCTTTGACTATTCCTCTTCCTTTTACGACCAATGACCCCTACCCCAAAATGCCTCTAAAGTTCTTTTCCAGAGAAGGGGAACGCCCTTTGCACATGTGTAAGTCCACAGAACGTCTTCCTTTCCTGCATCGTGTGGACATCTTTTGTTCACAAGTCCGCACTGAGTATGTAAGGTTAGCGCACACATGCTCACACCAACACACTTAGATAATTTCCATACATTTTTCGGTCTTTTTAAATATTGATAGCAACTCTTTTTGCAACTTTCGATAACAATTCAAGGCTGATAAATGATCTGGAAAAAATGAACCTCACCACAACAGCTCTGCCAAGAATAGAGTGCTCCCCAACGAGTCCTTCGGACGTAGTAGACCAAGCCGCCCGTACTTCACTGGTTTCATCACGCAGAGCACTGCCCATTACACCACTGAGTTAAACACCACAAAAGTCAATCATTTTGATTCCCAGAACAGAGTCCATTAAACCCTTACGTATGATCTATGGCAGTACGTTCCCTATCAATAAGGCAGAAGATTCAAGTTGCAATGTTTGAAGTAGGCCTGTCTGACACTGCCGCAATGGTGCATTAAGTTGTTGTAAAGTTACAGTGACAACATCAACGACGATGCAAGAAAAAACCCCAAGCAATCCCAATCCCAAAGAAAACATTACAGCCACCCTTACCACGACAAGAATCTTTTAAAAAAGCAATAGACCCTATATACTCACATTCCAACAATGACGCGAAAACTGGAAAGACCACACTTCAAGAAAACTTTGTATACGTACCTAAGTGAGTACGTGGCACCGCTATATCTTGTCCCAGTCGACTTGCATCCGTTACTTAGGTCTCCAAACTCATGCACGTCTACAGTATGATCAACGAGTCCGTCTCTGTCTAAGCCGTATAAACTGGCCTTTATTTCCATAGGTCCCCCAGATTTCTGACGTAAAATGTTTTTAAATAATTTTTATGGTGATATTAAAGAAAACGTGTTGTAAATCAGGTAACAGTTCCCAAACGGAGTCATTAAAGAATTTGAATATGGTAACGTATGCAATTTCGTGTCTCTATAGCAAGCCTGAATGACTTGTGAGCATTTTTTCCGGTAATTTCTCATTTTGTATTAGCAAGATTTAGATTGACAAAAGATGGTAAATTATTACGAGGAGCTTTGGCATACAAGATAAAGCCAATTCCTCCACTTTCTCTATTTGTCAGCCCTTACAAATGACCTCCCATTGATTGCTAGTATGAAAAGTATATTAAACAACAGAGGATTTAGTTTCTGGGGTAACATGCCTACCTTCTGCTTAAAAACCAGGAGTCCGACAACGTGGTTTTTAACAGCTGAATCCGAATAAGGGAAGTTGGCTTGAAGATCGCACCGTGCGAATTCATAAGCAGCACTTGCATGCTGTGAAGAAAATTAGAATGAAATAGGGAATGCTTTAGAATGGAAGGTAAATTTGGTGGATAACATGCTAAAGAAGTCAAAAACTCATCCAAAATCCACTATGAGATTGTGAAATGTCAATAATACGTCGCAGTTCTTTTTATTGAGCGTTTATTTTGTTTCTTGTGAATACACTGTACTTATGAATACACAATACTCACATTATCATCAGTGACGGCGCCCTCCTTGTTCAATGCCCCATCTTCCTTTTCCTTCACCTGACTGATTCCTTGAATCTGTTCAGCGCTGTCTTTGTTGTTATAAGCCAATCCTTGGTGACTTGTGACTGCTCCCTCTTTTTCGTTCATCACTTCCTTCTTTAAGGATGTTCCGTCACCCGATGCTCTGCCTGCGGCTTCCAGTGGACCATCCCTACATTTTATGTCTCCTGCTTTGCCTTCTGCTGCCCCTACTCCGTCGGGTTTTGCTGCTGTGATAGCTGTGTTATGTTCTTGATTTTCTTTACTAAGCATGTCTCCGTTTTGAAGGACGGCTTCTGTCACCGAATCTTTAGTGCCGCCCTCTGTGTCATCTAATTTCCAACCAGACATCTCATGTCTACTTCTGTCGTTGCTCATTCCATTATCGTCAGAGCTAATAATTTTCCAACCAGCATCAGGCTTAGCTCCCACCTTTCCAGCGTCTGTTTCAGCAGCACCTGTATTGTCTCCGGGAATAGACTTTACTTCATCTTGATGTCCCACTTCATTTAAAGTCGAGTCAACATTGGTGGTTGCGGAGTCAGGACTGTCTTTGTTCACCCCGCCAAATTTATGTTCACTGTCTGTCATCTTGGTTTTTTCTTTTTCGTCTAGGCCTATCTGAAGTTTAGCTTTGGTAACCGGGACTTTGACGTGGTTAACCTTCTTTAACTTGCTTTTCTCCTGAGCACCGTCTTGAGACATGCCAAGGGAATCCGTGCCATCTTGCTTATTTGCAGCCGTGTCTGATGCTATAGTATTCGCTTCAGTTGTATTGGTGTCGCCAGAGGACTTGTTGCAGACATCTTGTGGATGTTCACTACCACCTGGAGTAATGCAAGCAGGAACAGCCTGTTTTATTGCATTCGGTGCATTCCCATTAGTGTCTTGAATGTTTTCAGACGCCTCTTCAACAATGTCATACTTGAGTCCCTCTTCCATTCCAGTTGTTTTTGTGCCAACCTTCTTGTCAGTTGCTTCATTAACTTTGACGTAGTTGGAAATATTAGGTGCTTTATCGATCTCGTCTGCCTTTTGATGTACCATGTTGCTTTGAACTTCTTCCGCTCCCTTAATATCTTGTTCTTTTTCTTCTTGACCATCCTTGATTTTCCCTTGATATGCCTTGTCATCACTGTCGTCATCGTTTGCTTCTTGATCCGTCCTACCTTGAGTCTTAATATGGGGATGACCACCCATTGTATTTGGGTGCATTTGCTCCGGTCCTTCGTCATACCTTGCTTTTGAGGACACGCCTTCACTTCCTGCTCCCAGTTTCAATTCTTTATTCATCTGCTTTAGGAATTGCATGAGCTGAAAAACTATCTGATGATCATTTACACCTTTGTCTGCATCTATATTAGCTTCTTCTAAACTAATGTCAGCCCTTGCTTGAGAATGTGCTTGTACTCGAATCTTGTTTGAAGACTCATTCCCCTCGTTTGTTATCTTTTCTGTGTGCCCTCCAACCTTCAAACTGGAGTCGGCGGATCGGTGGCCAGGGTCTCTTGCTGACGAAACAGGAACATCCTTCTCTTCCTCTCCTTTATCTACTTGCTTGACATTGGGTTTTGAACCTTGTCTGCCTACTTCTGTGGCACTTGCTATGTTGTCATTAGTCTCTGTATTGGTCATATCTTTTGCCATTTCTCTGACTATCGTTTCTACCTTCCGGTCTTGGCCATCAGTAGGAACATTTGCTTCGGAGTTTACTTCTTCGGGGCTCTTAGAAGTTTTTTCAACGCAATTTACTTGCTTAACATATCTTTTTCCTACCACTGATTTGACTCCAGTCTCGTCATCTCTGATGTCTTGTGGTAGTTTATCTGTTGTGCCTAGTTCACGGTCTCGATTCTCAGTGGAATCATCTTGCAAAATTGTCTGTTCAGTACTCTGAGAGGGTTTCTCTGCACCCATACCCTGCTCCACACATTCGGTCTTGGCTGCTCCTACGTCCTCCATGGTGTTTCTTTCTTTTCCTGCCTTTTCCAAAGCTTCGTTTTTTGTCAACATTTGCTTTGTTTCGGCTAGTTTGCTAATCGGTGTCAAGCGTGTGAGAGTATGAACCGTTTCAAAATCATTGTGTTCAATATCAAAATCCTTAAGTCCGTCTCGATGGAGGGCTTTAAGGGCGTCTTGTTCATGGTTCTCGAAATCGTTAGTTGACCTAGCTAGACCCTGAAGTTGTTTTGACAACATTACCCTTTCCTGTGTAACCACCTTATCGAGATCTTGTTCCTCCTCTATGTCATCATTTGTATCGTTGCTGTGAGTGACGAGGGAATCGTAATTGATTTCTTTTGCTGTTAACGCTACCTCGTTTTTGCCCTCGAACTGCAATTTGATACCGTGAGTGTTTCTCATTTTGGAATTGGATAGTTCTTCCAGGCCGTTCGTTGGATGCTCGACGTCCCTGCTTTCTTCCCGATCTATTTTCTGTACTAATGCTTGTGACACGAGTTTCTTCTCAGCTGTGACCTCTCCGCCTGTCGACGTGATGTCTTTACCATCCTCTGTTGCTTGATTTTTCGGGTCTCCACTCTTTGCCAGTTTAGACTCTATGAAGTCTGAGAAACTACTACAATCTTTCTTAGGATGTTCCTCTGAGACTACGTCTGATGCTGGACTCTTGTTTAGTGCTTTACCTGTCTCAGTCGAAATCACGTGAACCGTGACAGACTTTGAAACATTGAATGTGGAAGCCGGACCTTTAGATTTGTTTTCCAAGTCCTTTGGTTCCATTGCTGACTTTGAAGTTTTAAATTGATCGACCGTATTTTCTGGATCCATCACATTGGTTTCAACTTCAACTCCAAAGTTGTCTCTAGAATTAGCCCCAAAATTACTTGTGTCAACCAAGTCCTGATCAGCGAGTTCCTGTCTAAAACCAGTCGCCAAAACCCTATTCCACCCTTCGGTCTCAGCATCTTCAGTCGTGCCACCATCACTATGGAAACTTTCTTTTTCGTTTAGTATTTTAATTTTATTCTCCAAAAGCAAATAGTCGAGCATCTCTTCGAGTTCAATATCATTGCCATCAGCATTGGGAAAATTGATGAATGGTGCACACTCGACAGCTAGAAAAAAATTAAAATAAAATAAAAAATTAAAATGTGGGTATTTGATTATTTCAATACATTTTCGTTACATATTCAGGAGTAGCCTACGAATCCAAGAATTTAAAGCAACTCCTCCTGTTTTAGATCTCTGTGATAGATTGGACGTGCTGGACCGTGAAATCCTCAAAATGGTGAGCATCAACATTGACAACTGAAGTCTTGCCGTATTTGTAACCTGTATGTTTTGTGTCGGTTTGATTCGCGTACTCAATCAAGTTGGCTCCAGTGCTGACAGATAGAGTTTCTTTTGTTTATGGGATATCAGATATGACATCATTCCGATATCCGTTTTGTTCTCTTCAAGAGTTTCTGTTATTTGATTAGAGACCGTTAACGTTTACCAATGATTGTTTCCGTGCAGATTAAAACACGTTTAACAAATCATCGATAAAAAAGTTTGAAACAATCTTCTTATACGCCTCAGAAAACTTAGGTAAAAACATACTTAGCTATGTGTTTTAAAAGGTCAGTTAATCCATAGAGGCACTCGCCTCTATATAGTTGCCACACAGTAATCATTCTGATCTTTTGAAAACCATTTCAACATTTGCAGATAAAATGTGGATTTATGCTACAACGTGGCTTAACTGTACCTTAACCATAGAGCTATGACTCTATGACCTTAACAGTTGAAGTGTTTGCATGGGGGGCACCTATCATTGGCTCTGTACCCGTATCATCAACAATTAATAACAAAGACATCAATCTCTGAAAACGTCCTGTGTACAACCTCTGTCTTCAAAGACCATCAGGCAAATACCCTTAGAAATGCATTTTACGCACAAAGAAACCAGGAAATTCATCTGTACGGGTTATTTGCTTTGGGTACGGGTTATTTGTATGACGCATACTCTGAACAAGGTTGATAAAAAGTGCATGGTAGTGCAGAGCAAAGGCTAATGAACAGGTTAAATCTTGCCATAACTACAACAGATAAAATAGAAACACTCCGCACGAGCTCCATCATAGACTTTTCTCTGTGATAAATACAAATGCCTGACATGTTTCATGGTAAATCAGTTCTTTTTGTTGTTTGCCACCTGCATCGTATAACTGACAGCCTAGGAAATCCGTATAAAAGTAGTCTCTTCTTTAAAGAATTTTTGGTTTTAAAATATCAAGTTCGCAGGATATTTTCGACATTTGAAGAATGCGTAATGCATAAAACTCTGACACTGCATCTTGCACGCATATCGGACGAGTGTGCAAGCGTTCACATTACACCACTTCCCTGCATGTATTGCAGCACTGGGATTTCACGAGTTGTTGAGGGCGTATAGTCAATTTCACATGCAACTAATTTCACACTCTATACGTTTTCTTTGTGGTGAATAAGAATACCTGGCATGTTTAAGCGTATGAAGTGAAGTAGTTGCTCTCACTCCCAGTATAAAGTTACGTAGTGGATATCGAAGACATTCTCTGCAGATTGTGCCAAAATATCTGTAAGTCTTTCACGACAATACCGAAGTAGTTCATCTTTTTAATCAATGAAGAAAAAATCAGAAGGTTAGGAGTGGTTGTCATCTCTAAAATCAAGTTTGAAACTGGATTTGAGAAACGTCAACCAGCACATAACCTGAAAATTTCAGTTGTGGCAGCATTTAACACCTAACCGCTCAAAGAGCGAGTCATTTTACACAAAAAAATGTATTGAAACCAGCCAACCATTATTTCGCGTATAAATTCAGCTCAAATTTCAGTGCTATAAATGATATTTTTCATGAAAATTCAGACTTAGAACGTATCATGAAAAAAAAAACAATTTGGTCTTTGACTTCATAAAGTCTTCAAACTCCCAACTACTTCTAATATACATGATTTCTCACCAATAGCGAATCCCAGTAGCACCAGCGCAGAACGCAACCAAACGAAGGAGGCCATGATTAGCTTGTATACAGGCTTCACTATCAGAATAGCCCAAAAATCAGTCTTTTATAACTTATCCTGACCTACCAGCATTTTTTGTCATGGATTCTAAATGCAATAAAAGTGAATCGTTTTTTTAAGGTGTAAGTTTACATACCCGCATGTAATATTTTCTCACACCACGTGAAAAGCTGTCATTCAACTGATAATACCAGTACACATTACCGTGAGAATGCAAGTTGAAGTTGCTGGGCAGGGCCATATCATGGCTCCAATGGGTTAGCTTCAATTGGGTATCTTGGTTAGTTGATTGGTTTCAATTTTTCTTTTCTAGTTTGTTTCATTGTAATTGTTAAATTTTGGAGCTTTGAAGCTTTTCATGGTGACAAATTAGGTAAAAGGTTTGCGCTTAGGCAGTCTCCTGACGATGGATTGAGCACACTGTGCGAAACGTTGATATACCCGCCGGTTCCTTTCAGAACCACACATACTCACAAAACGGATCCTTGCATGGTGCAAGTTTAAACCTTTTACTTAATTGTTATTTCTGTTTTGAGACTGTTTTGCGTCTGGGATGCCCAAGCAGTTTTGCTTTATTAGAAAAACAAAACCTATACCAAAAACAAAACAAAATAATTATGTGAAAGTGGGCAACAACTCGCTGAATCCCCCCGTTACCATTCTTGTGAAATAATTTGGTTGCCGTTCTTCTCTTGCAAAGCGTCATCATTTATCTTCAACGGTCCTCATTACTGTAAAATTCATAAATAAGGCTAAAAGAAATGACAGAAAAGAGGAAATAAGTTCGGATGAACTAAGGCTCGCTTATACTGATTAGTGACGCTATTTCGCTATTTAAATTAACATAGAAAATTCCGTCATCACCAATCGGTTTAAAATGGTATGCCCTAAATATTTACGACGATATAATCTACAGTCGCTATGTGAGCGTGGAGCTGGAACAAAATATGGCGCATTCTTCTGAGCAAGGGAGGCTCCTTTAGGCCTAGTTGGAACTGCACTTCGCTGGTTCAAGACCGGCTATGAAATGTACGCGTTACGGTCAAAACGCTGCAAACAAAATGAATACCCTTACGATCACAACGCTACCAACAAAATGAACACTACCGATCAATATGGCTCTACCCAACTGATAAGGTGTTTTCCTTGAGGCGGAAAGCTAAGGTGTTTTAACCCAAAATAGCTGGGTCATTTTGGACCATGTCCCCCCCCCCCACCCTCGGCCGTCCCATGTCCGATTTGTTTATATATTAGCTATAATATGTGTAAAAACACTCGTCAATACAAATGCGGTGTTTTTCGACTCAGTCTGACAAGCTTTCGTTTTACTGTCATTTGAAGCTGTATGCTATTAAGCGTACCAGGCCGCAGTGGAAAAGTATATATTTTTGGCCGACCCTGTCTTGGAAAAATGTTTTGTTACAAAATGACCGCAAAAAGTAACAGCCTCAGCTTGTGAAAAACCGCTTCGGGGCGATATCAAGAAGCAAAGTGTCGAGGAGGCGGACCCCCTCCCCTCCTTCAGGGTTAAGTTATACTTGCCAACACGTGTAACGGCGGTGTTATGGAAATAATTATATGTATTGCTGGCCGCCTGTAAAGCCTGGTCAAATACAGATGTGCTGAAGCTACGGAGGAAGGAAAGTAGTTTCACCCAGGAGTTGCCACAGTGTCATGAAAAGTACTTAAATTAAAAGGCATGGCACAAAATGATGCTCAGTTGCGATCATTATGGCTTAGAACTTAAAAGTAGACAAACCTGAGTTCATTTTTCCCCAGTAACAATGGGTTATACGTACCAGACGCCAGAGTCTCGCCAAATAAAGACTTATAAAGAGACCAGGGCCTGATGCAGCCTTAATCTTCTGTATACTACCGCAATCGCAGCGACCTTTCAGCTTACCCGAAGGTCAGCCCACACCTGAGGGCATTTCTCTAGAGTTACCCATTCACATCGTTTGTCGTTTTAGGTAAATAGAAAAAAAAATGGATAGAACTTATCATCACACAGTCTCATGTGGCAGAAGCAAAATTTACTGCACAAGGAGACCTGCGTGCTAAGCAGATGACCATGGACGGCATTTTGACCAGCATAGAGCTCTCGTGTGCGACGAGCTTGATCCTGGAAGCTATCAAATATATACTGCCACGCGGGCATAATAGTATGCGAGCGTGGTGCTATCAATTTTGGTCGCCGGATTAGTCAAGAGTGCTTGAGCGTGTACACGTTTATATCAATTCCTCTTCTTTTTTGTTTAGTAAAGTTAAAATTAGTGCCTCTGGGGATATGTGGATAAAGAACAATGGAAATTTTAGATGATCATGCCCGAGGATTGGGCATGGCGAATTCAAGCCACCAGAAGGAAGTTGCAACTGGTACGAGGTGTTTACTAAACAACATAATACAAAAGGGACGGGAACGATTCTGACCGACGTTTGACTCTCGAGAGCACCAACAGAGTGCATTGTTCTTTTGGGGAAGGATTGACAACTCTGATAGATATAAAAGATATAATGGGCCATTGACCTTACAGACGATATAATCGAAAGTATGAGTGCGGCTCTTGAAGTTTTCCGACATTCTAAAATGCTAACTTTTCCTGAAATAAAAAAAAAAACAGGTAGGCGTATATAGGTAGCATTTTTGTTAATGCATGGGATTGATGAAAACTCCCAGGCATATGATTCATTTGACTAAAAGGGTGAAGTTTTAAGCTAAAATTGTCTATTCTTCTTGATTTCTGCCCTGACCGCTTGAGTGGTAGAGTCCAAACGGGTGTTTTCTTGACAATACGAGAAGCTACACAGAGCGTGATTGCCTTGTTCGGTACACTCTTAGAAATGTTGCGTGTAATTAGACCAACCTCGGTATCAATATTGATTAACACACAGATAGCCTTTTACTGCCCAGCAACGGTGGCGTGGATACCAACATGGTGGTGTGGTGTGTAGTGGTGCATCTTGGGGCCAAGCGGCGGTAATTGGTTCTGTACAAATTCTCCGAGCGCAATATCGTTACGACGCTATACACACATTACTTGCTGCAACCTACAACGCTATGAGCGGAATCCACCCAGTACATTTTCTACGATATATTTGTTGTGACATGAACAGTGCAGTGACTCTAATATTCATCGAATCGTAAAAATAGCATTTCAGAAAACGTTAGTTTTCCGAAGTAATGAAAGGGAAAACTTGATTTTGTTTCCTTATGAATTGCAAAACGCCAATAGGGAGTTCTGAGGGTCTCATTTGAATCCATTGCTTTGTGGTTTGCGAAAACTCGTCCGGAACAATGCAGGAGTCGCTTTCATTTATTGCCTTTTTTTAAATTAAAGAACGCAAACAACCTGCACACCTTTGGTGAGATGCATATATCTTCCCAGAGATGCGAGGAAAAAGCCTGTAGTTAAGCAGTTACAGAACATACCCGGAATTATAGAGTAGGCCCTCGGCAACACGTTTCCTTGTTTCGCTTTTTAACTCAGAAACCAATGAGTGGAAATTTAAGTCCCAAAAATGTGGGCAGTGGATGCAGTAGCAGATCTACCAACCATAGAATGCATGAGGCTTGAAAGTCAACGTTATTTACAATGCCCTTCTATATACTCAACTGTTCAAATGAAAGCAGTTCGTTTCCAACACAGGCATTGTTCATAATGCTCTACACACTGCATCTGAAAGCTTACAATAATATAGACACAGTATATGTTTGTCGTTTCTACAATGACTGTTCTAAGCAAATTAATCAAAAGCCATCTGTTCTAGGAATGTCGTTTTGGCACCTAGGTCTCTTTCTGCGCGATGCGGCCACCGTTTCGTGTTACAATGTCGACTTTTAATGGCTCTAAACACATCGTGGGAAAATTCAGTTTAGCGATTAGCTTTCTTGCTAAAACAAAGTTTGTAAACATGTTTAACTACTAAACATATTTAATTTGTCGTTTAGGAATTGGCCACGCCATGTTAAGCATCTGAACATACAAAGTAAAGTTTATTGCTAAACACAGATTTTTATGTGCACAGACATTACAAGGGCACAAAAACAATACACTTCAATGAATTCTGTTTTCTGGTGTTCTTATTGAAAATCAACTAAGAAACAATGCTACACTTGCTCGGCAATCTGGTGAGCAAACACAGAGATGCAGGTCAAATGCACATCACCAAAATGCACAGGTAGAATGTACGTGTACAAACCTTCACAAGTAAAAGGAAAGGCGATGTTACATTCAGATAACTACATGTACATAAAATTGTGTTCACTTAGTAACCACGACGTGGCCTACCCTCATTTTTGTATCATCCACAGTGACCACAGAAATCGGGTTATCTGTATCAGACGGATTACTTAAGGAAAAAGAATGCACGAAAGAGTGTTTCGTAAATGCATATTACTGAGTATTATTGAATGACAGATCTCTATGGCCAATGTAGTAAACTGCTCACATTATAAGAACCTCTGAAAGCATGGTTAATACCCATAACAAAGTTATCTACTTGCTTTTTCCTTTTACGCAAGTTGGTTTTGAGTTCACCTTTTTAAATTATATATGGTAAACCGACATGGTAATAAAAGTAGCAATCCATTTCCGTCTACATGTGTATACGATATTTCATTTAGATAACATTATTACCAGTATACGGGCCAAAAGGTAACTGAGTTATTACAGCATATACGGAACTGAAAGTTCATCCCAAGCAAAATATTATTGTGTTAAAACGGAAGAAGTAAACCGCCTTGTTCTGGCTCGTTTCAGATATTTTTCTTTTCCCTATTTACAGACACAGAGATGAAAGATTCTACCTGCAAAATCACGTCAACAAATTACATTTTCCCCAAAAACTTCACAAGGTAATTTATGATTGGCCTGTTAGGCTACTACACATCCAATACAATCAGATTGCAGATAAACGATTCAATGTTGTTTTCAGATACAACACAAAAATCACTTATTTTATTTAAGTTTACAAACACGCTAAGATTTCCGAGCAAACGGCACTCCATTAGACTATTAAGTGGAAGCTCCTAAATTTGTCCCACAATGTGCCACTGAGACTCGTGCGCACTGATTTTCTTCTCAACCTCCCAAACTATAGCGGTGTTAATAGGCACATACATTATCCCAACATCTCAAAATCGACGTTTTCAGCCATGATCGAATCAAAGTGTTCATTTCTTTATTTACAAGCTCTGTTACTTTACCTTCTCTCAGCTTAGGAAACCAGTATTTCCCCTCTAAACAATTTTTTTATTCCTCACAGTACTCAGTAACTCAAGATTTCTCCAATGCTGTTGCACCGAGTCATATGCAACGCCACTCAGAACCCCACTCAGCATTACGTAGAGCTACATGTAGGTGTTTGGACACACACATATCATATTTTTCCACTGGCAAGTTAACATTGGTGCTTCGTGAATCCCAATGTTGCCCTCAAAACTTTTCATTTGCCAACATCTAAAGAAACTGCTAACATGTTTAAAACCCAAGATCCTAGTCATGGAGTAAATTCCACAAGAGGGTGCAAGCGTAAGTGTATGAATGAACAACCAAAACAGTTCGTTGGTTTACAGTTTTAAGGTGTGATCCTTCTCAATAGAATTACACCTATTTGGCAAAAGTAGACCAGGAAACTTGAGATTCTAAATTTATTTCATGCTAAAATCCACATGGGATCTCGTTCGTCAAAAACAAAACCAAAATAACTTAAAGAAAAATCAGACAAAATAAAGCAAAAACAACCCAAACCAAAGCTTTAAAGGTGCCATTCTCAATTGATTAACAAAAGCTGAACCGAAAACCAAAATCATTAAAACTTTCTTAGCAGTACAAAAGGCACTTTTAATTCAGTCTAACTATTCTGAACAGCTGTACAGCAGTAGTTCAACAATTAAGGCAATATTTCGCATGCTATGGCACAAAGGAATCTTTGGTACAGAATTTTCTTTCGAGGAAAATGCAGTGGGTGTGCCATTCAGAAATTGGATATTTTCAGAAAGGGAATCAGCAGTTGTTCTAATAAAGCAGCATTCTCTAGCATGGATAACTAATAATAAGGTTAAAGCAGAATCCCTTTTATGGTATGTTATGACACAGTAAAGTCAACCTCAAATGCAATCTTTGATCAAAAACTTAGTTGAAAGTAGGAATATTTCAAAACAAGAAGTCAAGACTAGAATACATACACACCTATACCACCCCAGATGTAATCAAACTCTGGCATTGTAGTGGATACTCTAATGGTTCGTTGAGCACATGGAAAGTCCAGCAAAGACTTCTCTGGAATTGAATGCCAATTCTGATCACAAAAGCAAATGAAAGCAATAATTTTCATGCACATACTTTCATTTGCATGTCTCACTAATAAATGAACCTATTACAAATTTGATGTCAGGCTTTGCTTACATGTGCACTTTCCCATAGCAGTAAGGTGCGACGTGATCCATCGTGCCCCATATAGAAAGCACACATGTATACAAAGTGTGGCATCATGTTTTGGGTCTATTCCAAACATGTAATGGTGGCAATATCCACTGCAACAGAAATTGGTTGTAGATGCAGTCACCGCTGATAGCAAGCATGAACCTGTGCATCCATGTGGTTTGTCCCTATCAATAGAATGTTGTTGCCTTGTACAAACATGCCATCTCCTGTTGCTGTAAGGTGAAAATGTTTTCCATATTCATTCACTGGATATTCAGCGGTATCAAATGTCCCAGTAATGGATGAAAGGAGCAGATTTATGGGATTAAAGTGACTTTCAGAAAACTAGCACGCTTAGAATACTTAAAACCAAAGCTTCCTATTCAGAGCAAAACATATATTGGGCATCAAAAAGTGAAAAAAAAGAAAAAGAGGGCTGAATTACAGTTGTACATGTAGCTGTATGAGATTAATTTCTACTCTTCCAACCACAGCAATTTTCATTTTCCAGCTCTCAAACTAGCTGTTCAAAAGTACAATTAAAATAGCAAGCAAATAATGTGAGGCATACAATAATTAACTGCTGTAACATTTGTCCTAGTATGATGAAGGCCAAACTAATTTGGACTTGGCTGGATTACTTTAATCTAACTTCATGGTCTCACTCATCAAGTTGTCCAACTCGATCAGGTGAGTGAACTTGTTGCCAGTTGCAGTGGCAGCAGATGCTGCCCGACCCGCATACCTAGGAAAAAATAATTTTTAAGTAAGTAGTTTAGACAGCTAGAAAAGCCCAACTTGAAAGCTTTCATTTTATTTAACAGTGTAGCACGACAACTGAAATTAGAAAAGGTTCTGCTGAATCTGTAAATTGCACTTGAAAGTTTGACCTCTGTGCCTGATCTGGCAGCTCCAACTGAGAGAATGGAAATTGCACCACAGTTTCAAGATGCATCTTGACAAACTTAAAGCCAGTGAAACCAAATCTAATGGCCACTGGCAAAAAGAGGTATGATTGGAACACTCAGCAGGAGAGAAAAAAGGCATAACACACTGCCTTGGCTTCTAGCCAATGTCTTGGGTGCACACTGCGAAAACATTTGAAAGTCTCAAACCAGGATTTTATCAAGCTCCTAGGGAGCCATCTCAAAAGCCATCAGGGAAAACTTGTGTATATGTTGTCGGTAAAAGTTGCAGGATTCTTGGCAGCTCCCCAATCTTCCTGCAATTAGATAAATACTTTGTTTACACATTCCCTCCACTGTGTTTGGGCCAGGCTAGCTAGTTTAGGGCAGAGTAGAAAAATGCAAGAAAGCCGACCGATATGTTGAGACTAAGTTTTCAGCTAGCTCCAATCCAAGTAATGAACTCAGTAGGGTTCTGTGGACCTACATGATGTAGTCCGAAATGTTCTCTCATTCATGTACTGATAGTAACTCTAGAGTTAGTGTTACGGTGGAGATAAGTATCCACGGAAGAGTTCCCTACCACTCTATCCTATGTGGATTATACATCAAAAGGGGGTCATCCATGAAGAGAGGGGGCAATTAGACTGAGGGCTACCTTCAAAGATACATTTAGCTAGCTCCATCTAAAACAGATGTGATTTTAACGCAACATTAATAGCTTCACCTGCATAGTTATGTCCAGAGCTACTCAGGACAAATTATAGCCCCTAAAGTTTGTGGAATTCACTGCACTTCTAGTTCAGCTAGGTTTGTTACAACCTAACTCCAGTGTTTACTGACATTTAAATGTAGCTGGCCTTGCCAATCTTGACACAACTGGCCACTATTTGTCTCATTTTGTGTAACGGAAGCCTTTTTATTAAATATTCACTGATTTTACACTTTCAAATCGTCTGTAATCATTTGATTTGTTTTTACGTAACATTCAAAACAATCAGCTTGGGGGGGGGTGAAAATCGAATGCGAGTCTATGCAAACCTTGAAACCAAAAAGAGTGTGTCCCCTGACTGGTCCAACTCCAGGGAGGAAATTTAGGGATATCTCGGATGTAACTTTCAGTCCATTTACTACACATGAACATACATGTATATGATGCAGAACATGTATGTTGGGAATCTCTGCCGTGTAGACATGTATAAAGCATAGCGGATAGGGTGAAAGGTAAACCTTCCTTGTAACTCTCTAGCTCCAGAGTTACAATCACTGAATGAATGGGAACATATTTTGAACTACATGTACATTACTTATCCTCACAGAACATCCACTGAGTACATTGACTAGACTGGAGCTTGCTGTTAATTTGCCCTCAGTAAAAAAAGGGGCTAGAATTGGGGCTTACTAGCTCTGGAGACAGCTAGGGGGGCCTAAGTTTGGTTCAAATGACAACTGCTTTATGTGGAGCTACATGTACATGTATGTCCACAGATACAAGTAACACTCTGTCTGAACTACCCCATATCTTTATGATAGCGCAATTCAAGAAACTGTTACCACATGCTACATACAATATCTGGAGGTACATGTACATAAGTGGTTTACTCGGAACTAGTTAAGAGAGTTTCACAGTGTAAATATCATTTAATGATGGCTTGATTTTCTTCTGCATTAGTTTCTCTTAGCTTTGCGTATTATTAGAATGTGCATTGAAATAATAAGAGCCACATACCTGGTACATGTACATACTGATTGAAATGAACATATACACTGTATATATGAATGTAGTCTCCACAACTGACCTTTGTACTTGAAAAGCTGCTGAGATTGTATTCATGGTTCTGATACATGTAAATCTGGTGTGAACATGTAACTGTGTAAACTTTACCGCTGCTTGACAAAACTGAACCTGGACTGCTGGATTAAAAACATGGAGCTGGAACCGTGAGTTGAACTTTACCAAATTGCTGCATTCCAGTATTGTAGTCGAGTATTTTTTGAGTATCAATTTCACCGCCAAATTTTGAACTGGTCAGGTGTGAACAAAGTTGAAGAGCATGAACGTCGGATGGTAACATGCACAAAACTATCGATGATCTAAAACTATAACAGTCTTTTAAAAACTATGTTTTTAAAGACAAAAGCAACTGGGAGTACTTTTCCTGTAATGGTATTTTCTACAAAACTCTGTTACCACCATGTTACCATCCACTCTCCATGTTCTTCAGCTTTGTTCACACCTAACTAGTTTAATTTTCGGCAGTGAAATGGATAAGTACATGTAGGCCTGGATCAAGTACTGTAAAAACTACAATGGGGAAAAAACTAAATTTTTTCCCTCTCTGACCATGGCGACTGATTAAAAGGCCAAGTTCAGACTAAGGTGCACTTAAATGCAATAGGTCACTCTCCTTGAAACCACTATCAACTCTTTGTGGAGCCACCTGTTGTAAGCTCTCTGTTCATTATGGAAAGAGTTGTTCACAGTAGACAAGCTGTGAATGAAAATTCACTAGGAACGCATCCAGGACAAATGCAGAGCTTCTTGTGGATAAAGTGAATGGCCCCAACCACAATTTGTCCCCAGTCAATTTTGAGCTGTTTTCTGAGCCTGCTTATTTGTTCCTAAGTCAAGTTTCACATCCTATATCCAAGATATCACAAGTGCTCTGGATGTGTCATGCAAAGTCAAGAGATATGGACCTCTGTGAGAGGTAACAGTCAATATGCCGATTCACTCAGATTCACTGGATTAAACCTAAGCGGACTACTCACGTGCAGCGTCGTTTCCAGTTACTCGCTGTGTGGATGCGTGCCTGGACATAGTTCCACGCCCCCATGTTCTTGTGTTCCTCCTGGGACCACTGGATTTTGGCATTGGGATACTTGTTTAGCTCCTCAATGATCAGATCATATGGGAACGGTGAAATCTAAGCAAGCCAACACAGTATAAGTGTTGAATTGTTACAATGGCTTTCGCTTTAACTGATAAAATTTGACATTGAGAGGCAAGCACATCATTACAATTCTTTCGAAACAAAAGTGCTTTTTGACTATGCATTGCAAACAAATTTGCTTCAAACACATATTGGGAATGGGAAAGGGGAGCTTCACAAGTGTGCAGCACTTTACTCCTAAGATTGGTCACCAGTGTTTTGCATCAGAATAATTTGGGACAAAGACATGTAACAGTTATTTTGAAACCGTATACCAGGGTCTGGGGTATTTAGAG